TCAATATTATTGTATATGGAGGGGAGAGAATTTTAAATATTACGATTTTTTTTTTAACAGTGCCTCCAGTGTTTTAAATTTAATATATTTGATTATAGTGATAATTTCTTGTCGATTGTTAAATTGCGTGTAATTAACTGTTTTTTTTATTAAGTGTGTTTTCTCTTTAAATCTAAGTTAACGCAAGTAAACTCATCGCGGATGATAATTGAAGAAAATTAAATTTGCAATTAAATTTCGTTCAGGTCTGTGAATTTTATTAACGCAACGAAAAATGTTGAAAATTACGAGTTCTAATTTGTTAGCCAAGGATTATGGATACGTCATGATACTAGGCTTCATCTTTTTCTTTATTAGAAGGCATCGTCTGTCGATTGTTACGTTATTCATACATATTTATTCGATTTTTCATAAATAAGGAAACGTTATTGCATTATGCTGATTATCATGTGTATTTATCCTTTTTTTTATTTAGAATTATTCATAAACAGGGAACATGATAGTAGATAAGTATTGTAATGGTTGAAGTAATAGCGTCTTATTACCTCTTGTCACGAAAATATAATCGACAACCAGGAAAATATTTCCTTTTCCGCATGACGATGCATTTATTCATTAAATAATGGTCGTATATTAATTTTTGGCTAAAAAAGGAAATATAAATAATTGTGCTCGATCAAGTACCAACGAAACGAAGCGAAATTTCAATCATAAAAGAGATAAAGATACTTAGAGAAGACAATTTCAGAACCTATTTTAAAATTCAAATATATTCAACTTGTTTCTTAATTTTTTGGATCCTGCCCAACTCGAATGTCTCAAAGATTTTTACATCCTTTTTAACATAGTTGTCAACTATCTTTTCATTTGATATTAGTAATGAATTCACGAATCTAATACTAATCGTATCTTAAAATATATTCAAATTTCTTTTCTATGATCATCACGTAGAAAAATATTTGTCCAAATCTCTAAAATATTTTCTTTTTATTTTATTTCAATAATTAAATTTTAATTTGTAATGTTATTATTTTATACGTCGTTTAATTTAATTATTTAATTATTATTCTTTATGAATTTTCTTAAAAAATTATTCTTACATTAAATGAAAGATATTAGCACAGTTGATTGTGAATGAAAAATTAATTGAAGCTTCGCGATATTTTCATTAAATTTTTATTGAAAAGAAAGAAAAAAAGAAGAATTTTAATTCAAAAAATTATTTGAAACAGTAATCTTTAAATAATAATAAATTCAAATTTATCCACTTTTCATTATTAGCATTACGATTAACCATTATACTAATTAGATAAAAAAATAATCTAATTTTGGACTGCGATAATTGAGTCTCGCGATGCATCTTCTTTTCTTCCATAGATTTGTCTATATCTTACTAGATACCGGCAAAAGTCTTCTTCTTCCATCGAATAAACGCAAGATAACGTCGATGGCTCGAGATCTTTTAACTTTCAATGGAGCAACTTCTTCCTTACGACACCGCCATAAACGTACGTTTTATTTCGTTGCTTGCAACGATAGTGGCCGAAGGTTTTTCATTTTTAATTATCCACAGTAGCGTGAAAAGTTCCTGGCCGATGTACCAACGAAGTTTTAACGATATCTTCCCGACTGTTGTTAACCTTTCTTTAAGTCGTTCTTGAAAACTGGAAACTACTCGTTTGCAAGATCTTACGTTATTCAGCATCGAATGGAATACTTTTTTCTAACACTATCTCGCCAAGTTTAACGAGGGATTGTTGAAGAAGAAAGCTGTAAATCAATCTTTTATCACGATTTAGAAAGGGTTAAAAAATATCTAATAATCAAAAGTATTTTGCGAGGAAGATTAATAATTTGAATTTGAATCAAAATGTAATTGAATTTAATTTTTGTGTTACATTTTAAGCAATCATTGATCTGGAATAAGATACAATTATTATCCATTAATATGATTAGATGTCTTTATTAGCTTGTGTGTTCTTACTTCACTTGAACTTGAAAAAGATTGATGTAAAGATCAAAATAAAATTTGATTGAGATCAATTGAGATTTCTAACGTTACATTTTAATATTTTTTTATATTAGAAAAAATTAAGATGATACAATATAATTAGATTTGACTTTGTTATAATTTGATTTAAACAATCATCAGACATGCACATATTAAGAATTTAAGGAGTGAATTTTTTAAAAACATTATTTACCTTCTGAATTGTTACTAGCACAAAAATGATCTTTGATATCTCTCCACATTTCTTTCTTTAACAAATATATATTGAACATCTCACGTATAAATAACCATTCGAACAAGAAATTAAATTTTTAATCGAACATAAAATAAACCCCCCTCCTCTCACATTGTAACAGACCTTAAATCTTCTAGGCTTAAGAACTCCAACTAGGCTTAAGAGCATACGACAAAAGTTTCTGAAAACGTTTCCTCCAAAACGATGAAAGAGAGAAAGAGAAGAGATTCGTTAACGAATAGGAAGGTAGACGGAGTTAGCGCGACCCGTAACATCTTTCTCAAAGAAAACGGTTCCCCAGTGATCGACTTTGTGTCTTCACCCTTTCACTCGGCTCCCTGGAGGAATTTGAAACTTCAACCCCTTTTGCCGAGGCTGCACCCCTAATTGTTACACTTCGTATAAATGCATTAGTTCCGCGCATTCGTTTCACGGTCCCACGAATCCCGG